GGTTGAGGCTGTGGTGGCCGGGAGCGGCCACTGCACTCCAGTCTGGGTGACAGAGTGAGACTCCAACTCAAAAAACAAACAAACAAAAAAAACCAACAATAAACTTTTGTGAACTGGGTCAGTTGATAATTTAGCAAATGCAAGAGTCTCCTTTTAGCAGAATGAGCTTGCCTACTAGTGTCAAATAGCCAAAGTCCTTCCTGAGTTAATCTTGCATCTGTGCTAGTTTTATCCTCAGGAAAGTGGTGTCCACGGCCTCTCTGGTTTTCACATCCACCCCTGCTCCTGTGCTCATTCGTGGCCCCTGTCTCAGGTCAGGCCAGCATCACCTCACACCTGGGACGTCTCCTACCTGGTCTTCCTGCTTCCTACCCACCCCTCCTCCCACAGGCCTCCCACTGCAGCCAGCTTAACCTTTCTAAATTAGGGACCTAACCTTGTCACTTTCCTTGCCTAAGAACTACCAACAGCTTCCGTTGGCCCAAAGCATAAAGGCCCTACTCATCAACAAGTGTCGAGACCCTTGATCGGGCACTACTGTTTTCTCTGGGCCCCGTCTCCTTCCATCCCCACCCCAGCTCAGTCGCTGGGTAGCCTAGCTCCACCACAGACCTCAGCCATGCCAGCTTCTTACATGGGACCCTCAGATATCTGCTATCATCCATTTTCTGAAGGAATCCTGCCTGAGACAGTAATGATGAGAGCACCCTGAAAGCCAGGGATGTTCAGGCAGTCTCTTTTGCCTCCACCTTGGCCTCTGGACCCCACTGAGCATGCAAGCCCTCCTGCTGCTGTTCAGTCACTCAGTACACACAGAGCATCTAATGGGCCAGGCCTATTGTGGGGACACAGGTCAAGGCTCTACTTTCCTGGGGCTGACATTCTACTGGAAGAGGCAGACCATGAGCACATGTACAAACAGGATCATCCACCCAATGAGTGCTGCAAGGGGAATGATGTAGGGCTGGAGAGTGAACTCATGGGGGTGAGGGAGCTACTGTGCACAGCGTGGTCAGAGAAGGTGCCTTGGTGACGGTCCCCTCTGAGCGGAAATCTAGAATCAAAGGAAGACTTCCACGCACAACTCTGAGATTCAACATCCTCAGGAGTGAGCCTGGGTAGGTATTCCCTGGCCACTTTTGTTAGCCTAGCTTATAGGACAGAGTTTCTGCCTTGGCCCCTTCTTCTAAATGTCCCCAGGTACCCTGCCTTGGCCCCATCCCTCCTCTGGCACAGGTGCCTTGTCCAGGACCCCAGTCCGGAGGTTGTGACCCTGGCTACATGGACAGGTTCCCCAGAACACTGCCTCCTCTCCTGTCCCTTAGGTCAATTGTGGCCTCAGTCCCCTCCTGATTGGTGGCCTTTTAGGTAATAGTGGCAGAGGTCAGGGCTCCCAAACTGTGCGACTGTACCTTCAGAGTCAACCCATGGTGACTGCCCCAGCCTCTGCCATGCTCTGGTACCCAGTGTTCCACATGGTGCAGTTCATCGCCCTCCCCCTCATCTGCTCCAGGCTGCTGCCAGAAAACCACCCTGTGGTGGTGTCTCAGTACCTGATGTGGTGACACAAGCCCAGTGGGTCATCAAAAGTCCCCATGCAGGCCATGCCTCGCTTGAGTACCTTTCCGTCCCATGCCGCTGTGTCGGCATTGCTGTGCCCCTCCCCCTTCCCCACCAGGCTACTTCTAGTCACCTTGAAAGAATCAGCTCATGGGTGATCTCCCATGGGAAACATCCTCGAGCGCTCCAGGCATCAGTGACTGCTTCCCTGCCACGCTAGAGCTCTGGCCACCTCACTCACACAGGCTGCTGTGGTTGTCTGTGTGGACATTAGACTCCTCCCTTAGGTTCTGAGCTCCTAAGGGCAAGAACCATGTCTCAGTTGATCCTCTCTGCCTGTGGCACATTTGGAAGACCCTATCATTTCTGAGTTTTTCTTCCTTTATCCTCAGGTGCAGAAATCAGTTCTGCACCCAGCTGAGAGGATTTCCAAACTGCAGTACCATTTGTGACAAGAGCACTACCCCCCTGCCAAACTGTCTGTGAAATACCATTTGCCCTTTTACTGTGAGTGTCCAGCCCATGGTCCTGTCCTTCAGAGGGACAGGGGAATTAATATTTGTTCCGTACTTGGATGGAATTGGAGACCATCATCCTAAGTGAGCTAACTTAGGAACAGAAAATCAAACACTGCACGTTTTCACTTATAAGTGGGAGCTGAACTAGAGATATGCAAAGCGATAGAGAGTGGTATAATGAACACAGGAGACTCAGAACGGGGAGAGGAGGAAGAGCTAGAGGCTCGAAAAATCCCATATCAGATTCAGTGTGCACAGGTTGAGGTGGTGGGTACACTTCAAGCTCAGACAAAAACTCTTTGAACCCCCCGAAGGTTTTAAAATAAATTTAAAAATTGTTGTGTGACCAGGGACCACACTAGGCATGTATTAGGCTCTCAACAAATATTTCCTGAATGAATAGTAAATGGATGAACCTGTGTTATTTAATCCTCATCGTATTCCTAAAAAATAGGCATCATGATTCACTTCCCTTGGATTACACTGGCAGCAAGTGGCAAAGCAGGGATTTTTTTTTTTTTTTTTGGAGTCATATCTCACTCTGTTGTCCAAGCTGGAGTGCAATGACATGCTCACAGCTACCACAGCCTCAGGCTGCTGGGCTTAGGCAATCCTTCCACCTCAGCCTCCTGAATAGCTGGAACTACAGCATGCGCCACCACGCCTGGCTAATTTTTTGATTTATTGTAGAGACGAGGTTTTGCCAACTTGCCCAAGCTGGTCTTAAACCCCCGGGCTCAGACAATCCTCTTGTCTCTGCTTCCCAAAGTGCTGGGATTACAGGTGTGAGCCATTGCATCCAGCTAAAGTTAGGATGTAGGTGCCGGTCTAGAAGAGACCCAGAGCCCAAGTTTGCTCTCTACGACACTACTGGCTTTTCCTCCCCGAGCTAAGAGCTTATTCATTTCCCTTATCTCCTTCACCCTATTGGGATGCAGAGCCCAGAGGCCATGAGTGCTGGGCACTTCTGCTGTATCCAGCTATACA